AGCTATGGAAATGTACTTTTACACATGGCCTATCATACAGAGCAGGCTCCAAAACTCTGCCATGGTTTCTTTTAGACCTTGTTTCTGTTCTCCTGTTTTGTTTCATGACCTAGTTTTCCTTAGTTCCTTTGATTAGTTCATTCAGTTCACTTTTCCTGTTAATTTGGTCATTAGTCCCATGTTTTCGTTAGTATAAGTACTCCCCGTTCTGTTCAGTCTGTTGCTGGTTATTGATGTTGATTTGCTTGTGTTTGGATGTACACCTCTTCACAATTATCAGTAATGTCCTTGTTGGATTCTTCTTCTTCGTTGTGCGCTTTGTATTGCACCAGCTCCTGTGACAAACAACTGATGAGTGATCCATTTACCACAGATCCCAGAAAAGCCTACACTGCTTAGCGGCCCATGACTTTGACTGTTAATGATTATTCTCCATTGCCTTAGAGCTCCATTGTCTTGGAAGTGTTGATTCCTATCAGCATCAATCTGATTCAGCTAAACCTCTTTCAAATAGAGCCATTCATTCAAATCCTCCTAATATGCAGTGTTGTAACAGGGATTTTGTTTTGCATGTAAACTTCAGAAAGTGGAAGGCATACATCATCATCATTGAACATCAAGACCTGAAATCTCATAACTGCTCACTACTTTCTCCTGACCTATGGTTCAAAGAATAATTACAGTTTTGATACCCTTTGCATTTACCCATTTTTGTATTTCTTCTATACAAAATGTGGATGAGTTACCAGGGTCTAAAAAGGCATATGTTCTGACTTTCTGAATGCCTTTCACTGATTTTAGAAAATTCATGTCTTTTTATAGAATTTAGAAAAACTCTTAGAATTGTGCATCATTAGGCAGAGCAGCACCATCCTCTGGCTTAATAGCAGCCCAGTATGATGCTATATTATAATAAATTAATTGGCAATTTTACTTAACTTTACTTAAACTTAATTACCAATGTGCTATTTTAGAATACTTGTTTTTACCTCAAGCAGTCCTTTCGTAGGATCCACATACAGACAGCTTTGTGCCAGCGTTTTATACCAGATGTATATTGCTCTAAAGTGCCGTTTGTCTTTGCTATTGTCAGTTTTGTCCTCTATGTTGTGTTCAAAGGTTATTATGGAGGACGCGTAATGCAGTACGTTGCTTTTGATAGCTTTTGTTGCTGCAAAATTTCCTCAGCAATATGTTTTTGTCTTTTCATGACACTGGTCAGTGTTGGATCACTGATTTCTCTTAAATGAGCTGAACCTCTTCCAGAGTCGCTGGGGGTTTGGATGTTGTAAAACATGAGCTTGATTCCGAGTCTGAAGGATCGTACATTTGAAATGTTCTTGACTGCCCTCTCTGTGAATTGTCCAGATATGCATTCATGCCATCCCTAGGCACCAGAGCTGATGTTTCAAACTCCTCAAGCACCCCTAATTTGGCCATGGAAGGAGATAGTTCTGTTTGAATTTTCGGCTCTGTCTTTTTATATTGAGCTGCTGTAAGTTTAGCCTTGTCCATGTCCAGGGCATGTGTCTCATGTAAAGCAGCAGCTCATGTCTTTATGCTGGCTCTCTCAGCCTCAGCTACAGCTTGTGCATGGGCAAATGAAGAAGTACTCTTTGAAGCTTTGCTGGAAGTTGCTGATACACTATCATCAGGCCTTACATGTACTTCATCTTTTGAGTGAGTTGCACCTCTGTTCCCACACTGGGCTTGTGCTACACCTGTTTGAACATGTTATCTGGGATTGTGCGTTTGACCATCCATCCGACCCCTTTTGAAAATCAACAAAGTGCTGAATTTCTGGCTCATAAAAATCCAGCCGGTTGGCGTATTTCTCACCCTCAGGGAGCAAAGATTGTACTGAGGCATGCAAATCATTAAAGTCTCTCATTGAACATAAATACAAATTCAAAGGCATATTCCACAGCTTCTTTTTTCATAAAAGCTTATTTATCTTCCTTGTTAAAATACTAGGGATGCAACAATACAGTTAGCCCATGGTTCAATACATACCTCGGGGTTTCCTCGGTTTTTGGTTCTGTTCTGATGGCTTGGTAGTGTTTTTTTGTGATTTCTGATTTAAAATGAGATTTTTAAAGGAGAATTATTTAATTATTTTAATATATATATATACTGGGATCCTGGTGAGAGGGCCCAGCAAGCTCAACAGGAGGCTCCACAGGCTGCGGTGTTTGTGATGGGGGTGCGGCCCGAGGAGGCTGTCTCGTCGGGGAAGCCCACACCGTAACCCTCAGATCACCTTGGCCACCAACCAAAGTAGCCCTCTTATGCTTGGAAGAGGAACTAGATTGGGGTGTGGCAAAGGGGACTCTATACCGTTTAAGGTAATCGAGTCTCGATCTTAACGCCGAGATGGTCATGTTCCCACAATGAGAACATGAACCATCCACGAACACAGCCTCAGCGTGCTGAAAGCCCAGACATGTGACACAGCGATCGTGGCCGTCACGAGGAGCCAAATATCGACCGCACCCAGAAATGCAAACGCAGTAACTGGAGCGTTCCCTTTCAAACGTTCTCTCATGTTGTGTATGGAGAACGCATCCAATCACACGTGCTACGAGCAGATACAGAACGACCTGCTCTGCGAGCCCAGTCTCGGAGCACTTAAGTTAAGGACTCCTAAATACACGAGCGAAGCTGAGTCCCAAGCACCGCTGAGGAGTGCAGATATAACTAGTTCTACCCTCTGGGAGAAATAGGCAAATCAAACAGACAATCCATGGACGTCTAAAAATAGAATTTTAGTAAAAAAGGACGCTGACGACTAGCCGGCGGCCGCACAATCACAAGTAAAAATAAGTTCCCAGCCGATCTGGGACTACAGATATTACCATTTCCACCCTTAGGGAGAAATAGGCAGATTAAATAGACAAAACCCGTGCCTGCAGGGCAGGGAAGTCTAAATTATAGAATCTGGCAAATGTGGACGGCGACGACCAGCTGGCGGCCGCACAAATCTCACTTATAGAAATTCCACTGGACCACGCCCAGGAGGAGGCCAGTCCTCTGGTGGAGTGGCCCCTCACCCCTATAGGGCATTGCAAGCATTCTGAGGCATAAGCCAAGGCTATAGCATCTACTATCCAGCAGGAAAGCCTCTGCTTCGTGAGCAGCACCTTTACAGCGGCCTCCGAAGCAGTCAAATAGCTGCTCTGATTGTCTGCAAAGACCAGAGCATTCAATGTACACTCTAAGAGCCCTAACTGGGCAGAGTGGATTGGGACCCTGCTCACTGCCCGCAGCGGGGAGCGCTATAAGGGTAATAACTTGGGCTCTAAACGGAGTTGAGAGCACCTTAGGCACATAAGCCTGTCTTGGCTTGAGGACGACCTTACAGTCGTTAGGCCCAAATTTCAGACAGAAAGCACTGATTGACAGTGCCTGCAGGTCACCCACGCGATTGACCAACGCTAATGCCAAAAGGAGGGTGACATGGGCCGCAGGTCGGCCGAATGTAGCGGCTCAAAGGGAGGGCCCCTTAGGGCCCTCAGGACTATGGACAAGTCCCAGGTCGGCACGGTCTGAGGACGAGGAGAATTCAATCTCCGGGTGCCCTTCAAGAACTTAATGACCAAGTCGTTTCTGCCGACTGAGCGGCCAGCTTCAAAGGAATGATTCACTGTGAAAGCTGCCACATAAACTTTGAGCGTGGAAGGTGCAAGCCCATTGTCCAACATCTCTTGCAAAAGAGTCAGCATGTGGGACACGTCACAAGAATCCGGGTTCAGGCTTCGTGCTGCACACCAGTCACAGAAGACTGACCATTTAAGGGCGTAAAGATGTCTCATAGACGGTGCTCTAGCCTCTAAAATGGTGTTGCTCACTCTCGTTGGGAGCTGCATAGGCTCCCGTCAAGGCTCCAGACATGAAGACTCCACAGCTCTGGCCAGGGGTGCCAAATCATGCCCTTCGCCTGCGAGAGAAGGTCTCTCCGTAATGGTATCGGCCACAGGGCAGCTGCTGACAGCTGCACTAACTCAGGGAACCAAGTTTGGTTCTTCCAAAGTGGGGCCACCAGGGGAACTGAGCAACCGACTTTCCTGACCCGTCTGATGACCTGAGGAAGCAGGGCAATCGGGGGGAAAGTGTACAGGCGAGAGCTGGGCCAACTGTGGGCCAGCTCATCCCGCTTTATGGAGAAATGGATAGGGCAGTGAGAGTTGTCTTCTGAGGTGAAGAGGTCGACCTCTGCCTTGCCGAAAACAGACCAGATTTTCTGAACCATCAGAGGATGTAGTGTCCATTCTCCTGGAGCTACGTTGCCTCTGGACAGCATGTCTGCGCCAAGGTTCAGACTGCCCGGCACATGAACCACTCTAAATGAGAGGAGTCTGCTCTGTGCCCAAAGTAGGAGGCGTCGAGCCATCCTGTAAAGGGAACGTGACCTGAGACCACCTTGGTGGTTGATATAGGCTACCACCATGTTGTCCAATCTAATGTCTTTTGTGCCTCTGTCCCTATTTCCTCATTAAATACAGAATGTGCCACCAGGGGAGCCAAGATAACAAAACTTGTTCACTAATTTCAGATAACATTTACACACATATTTCAAGATCCATTCAAAATGAATTGAAACATTAAAGTGGTCATAACAACAACAATAAGGCTGATGATACATGGGGCAACTTTTTGAGCAATGTTGCCGAGCAACTTTGGGCAATTTTGCCATCAACGGGCAACCAGGTGAGATACAGGGCCCACGACCGATCTAAAGTATCCAGACAGAAATTTGTTGCCCATCCTCAATGAGAATGTGCCCAAGCAAAATTGCTCAAAAAGTTGCCCCATGTATCATCAGCCTAAAAGAATGCATGGCATAATCTGCAAAAATGCTGCTTACTGGGCATAAATGCAGACTGGATATAGGTGTGAGCTTTTTTTTCAGTTAAAATATCTAAAACATCTTTGAAACAAGATTAATCTGAGATTTTTGACGGTGAGTCCATTGTCATTTGTTAGGTGTTAGCTTTGCTTACCGGCAGGATCTTCTACATTTTGCTCCATCGATATTGTCCTCGTCATCCCCCCACACATCTACAGCAGAGAATATTAATGCTATCAGGACAGCACAGCAGCACACCAGCGCAAAGATCACAATGCATTTGTGCTGAGACTGCAAGAAACAAGAGGAAGAAGCAAAAACACTTATTCAGAGCTAGAATTTGTATATGAGCAGTTGCTTTGATGTGTAGATAGACAATCAAACTCTGGCAAAAGGTTTATCCATGCATATACAAGTGTAAAAGTGTGGTCAGTGTCCACATCTACCTGCTGTTGTGCAGTTACAGTGAAGTTGGGAATTATTAGTTTACTGGGTTTCACCTACCTCATTACATTTACAGTACAGTGCAGTCTTCACAACATGATCACAACATTTGTTTTAAGACAGTTAATAGAGTCAATAGAAAATGTAGGGTTCCAAAAATTCCTGTAATTAATAACCTCCATTGTTTGTCTTTGTATTAGTCATCATGGCTCACTCACAAACAAAGGCAAAAATAAAGGTTACACTTTATTTCGATAGTCCACTTTAGACATTCTATTAACTATAAGTAACTTTGTAACTACATGTCAACTACATGCCAACTAATTCTCATTAATTTGCAACTACATGTCTACTAACTCTCAGAGTAGACTGTTAGGGTAGGTTTAGGGTTAGTAGAATGTTGACAAAGAAAGTGTTAGAAGATATTAAGCAGACAGTCTACTAATACTCTACTAACTGCTAGTTGACATGTAGTTGCAAAGTTACTTACTGTTAATAGAATGTCTAAAGTGGACTATCGAAATAAAGTGTTACCAAAATAAATTTAAAAAATAAATAAATAAAAATTGTCCCACAATTTACAGCTTCAGTGTGTGTGTGTGTGTGTGTGTGTGTGTGTGTTTGTGTGTGTGTGATGTGATGTGATGTAATAGTCTAGCTGTACAGATTTCACTTAGCATACAAGGAATGGCATCTACGCTAATATTAGTCTGTTTCTATTTTATTCCGAGGTCACCATGGCCACCAGATACAGTCTGTATCCAGATCAGATGGTCACTGCAGTCACCCGGATCCAGTACATATTCAGACCAGATGGTGGATCATTGTCATTTTGCATTTTTGACACAATGTCTTCCTAATTAATGCTGTACAGTTGCTTTGACACAATCTGTATTGTTAAAAGCGCTATATAAATAAAGGTGACTTGACTTGACAGGGAGACTTAAATTTGAATGAGGAAATGAACAACAAGCAAAACTGCTTCTGAACTTGACAGTCAGTGATCATTCACTAGGGGTGCTAGGGCCGATAATCACGTTGGGATGATTGATCGGCAGTCTCTAAAAAGGCCGATCTCAAAAAAACGATCTCAAGCTGATGAGGCTGCCGTGAGAGGTTTGGCACGACATGCAGCGGCACCGTCTCAGTCTCTGTCC